ATTTCATGAATATCTTGAATATCCTTAGAGTTATTTGCAGATTTGTAGATTTAACTCGCAAGCAGCGCCCCCATTGTGACGATGATAACAAGTTTTCTTATCACTAAGTTTGTTATCTTAAATATTATTTATCAAAAGTAAGATTATCTCAGGATGACACGGCAATTTATTTGAGACAAGAATAATGATACAATTCCAAGGCGAAGATACTATTCCTTTAACTTCCAATTATATACCGAGGGAACCAATTAATATTGATTTTATTCAACTTATCGAGTATTTTTCAAGGGACCGGGAAAAAATTGTCACTAGATAAAACTATGATTTTCTAATGTAGAAAATTAGGAAAGACAAAATTCAGGATGACACGGCACACAGGGACCGGGAAAAAATGTTCACTTTATCGAGAGATTCAAATTTACGAGTTTCAAATTATCAAAATATATCTTTTTTTTAATAAGTTTTTAGAGAATTGTTTTAACAAATGTTCGCTAGACAAACCTTTACTCGGGTAAAGCCTCGGGCGAAGCCGGGTACGTCCTCTAGTATATATATATTTATTTCAACACACAAAACGCGATATCCCGGCTAGGGATAATTGCGTCGATTCACATTTTTTAAACAGAAACAGTTATAAACATATTATACAAGAAAAAGTAATCGAAATAAAAAGAGAAACAATAATATATATTAAGGAACCTGAACCTATCAGGTTTGAAAGATAATCATAAATATATTTACAAAAATTATTGACTAAATGATAATTCTCTCTGCTATTTACAAATTGATTTAGATTTACGACATTATTTATTGTATGTTGTCTAGCGGTGAAGAAGAGTGGGCATTCCAGCAGTAGGTGTCTCGAGTCCTGGAATTCGTTGCCACAATGACAGCTAGAGTCTTCAACCGCGCCAATTTTTGATAAAAATACCTTTAAAAATATACTAATAAAATAGATACTACTATTGTATGCTAGGTGTTTACTAAAAATATATTTTTCTATCTATAGACTATGTTTAGTATAGATAAATACTATTTGTATGCTAATTTTAGTGAAATAAATTCTATTACCTGTATGATCGGTTTATAATATAAATAATTTTTAATATTGTCGCGGAGATAAATAAAGCAAGGGCAAATTTGGAAAAAAATTATTCATTATAAAGGGTATTTACCTTTTAGTTCTCCATTAAAATTATTTACAAGAGGTATTTATTGGGAGAGAGAGTCAGATAACAACTTATCCCAAGGTAAAAATAATAATAATAAGAGTGGTCAGCCACCGAGGCGTCCCGTTTTCCTTATTTTCCGATAAGATTCCGAGAACCCCTCACACCTGTGGTCGCCCCCCCCCCCCCCTAACGGGGTCCAGTGATGATTGACAGGTGTCCCACGGAGCTTCCTGTGGCTGGGATTGTTGAGCTTCTTGACGATATATACATGTTATTAATATTTTGTTTTGTTGTTGAAAAAGATAGAGACTTGAAAAGGTGCAGTCGTGAAAAAGTCCGTAATTATTTACCCATCAAGTAGTTTTTATTTTGAATTACTTGAAGCAAATTAAACATAAAATTATTTTTCACAGTAATATAAAATTTATAAAATGAATCCTATATTCGTGAATTTAAAAAATAGGTAGGTTACCTATACATATTTACAACAATATTCAAAGTGTGGTATCATCTTCTAAATCTATGGTCAAAAATGTAGAACAGTCAATGATTAAAATAAAATACATATTTTAAAAAAGTAAAATATTTGCAATGCACAGGGTTTAGAAGGAAAACACTACTACCCGTATGATAGGTTCAATTAGAAATATTCGCTGCTATCTGTAGGCTACTATCTGTATGGCAGCTCGGTGGATGTTCCATCTGTCTGTCAGGTGTGATGGGAAGAGAGAGTTCCAGGATTCAGCCTGACCAAGCCTCCTGTGTCCAGTAAACCTCCTGGCGAAGAAGGACATCTTCCCCGCCTCTCTGACGCCGTACATCTCCGGAGCTCCGCCCCTGTATCTCACCGCTAAGCAGGACGAGAGAGCCGGAGAAGTCGTAAGTCTCGTCATTTATGTCAGAGGAACAAATTTGCTATCTTTAGTAAATCTATAGTAAAATTACCAGAGGTAAACATCTCAATAAAAGAGTCTCATTTTGAGAGAATAAACAATCCAAGGCCCTTTTTTAGAAAGTTAAAAAATACTATGTTAGAATTAAACTCATTTTATTTTGAAAACATGTTGACGTCGCAAAATTCGGTACATTTCAATGGCAGTGGTGAGGGAGATAAGGCTTCCATTCTCAATGGCCAGGCTTGAATCAATACTGCGTCGGATCCTCCATTAATTGTGCAACGTGAAACATCCTCTCATTTAACGGCTTCACTCCACGTGTAATAAAATATTTATAACGGCGATTTCATTTTTAACAAACCCGTTAGAGGAAAATGTTGAACATTTAGAGAGAAATCGTTTTCTTTTTCGGAAAATGACAATTCTCTTATCATCCAAAACACCCAGTTCCATACCCACCACATGTATGGATTTGGAGATATCTTACCATCTCCTAATGTGGAAGTTACGATTTATTAACACACACAATTTGAACCACGAGTAAGTTAAAATGG